GGGGGAATAAGGTTAAAATTAAAAAAAAAAAAAAAAAAAGAAAAACAAGGAATATACAGAAAGGCTCACAGATTGGCCCTGCAGTGTGAATCATGAAACTTTAAAGGTGAGCATACACCTGGAGGCAGGATAACAACGGGAGTGGGCTTGCCAGGCTGTGTACTAGAAAATTGGATGGCCTGTGTGGCTCAGCCGTCTCCCAGTGCTCCTGGATGTGGGGACAGGGACCCAGGGCTGGTGCTCATCCACTCACTTCATGGCCACCTGTGACACGTAGCAGAAGGCCGTGGGCTGGAACCCTTGTGCTTGGGGAGAAATGAAGAAAATGGATCAGCTGTGGCCAGGACTCCCCTTGCCAGGACTCTGAATGCACAAGACAGGATTAGTACAGAGACAGATGTTAAGGTTTTCAGTGGCTTAGCTGGAACCTTCCCGACATGACAATTTGTTTCCATTTGACTCTGTTGGGAAAGGAATGGAAAACCTGCCACCACGAGCCCTAGGACAGACTCCTACCAGGTCCCATTCAGCCCAGGCCTGGTGCCCAGTCCCCCCAGATGGAGGCAGTGATCCCCCTTGCCTTCTTTCACGCCTGCCCTCCAGTGTCAGGTGAGCCCCAGCTCCCATGACTTCAGCCAGGTTTCTCCAGCATCAGAAGCCTTTGCTGCCAGTCTGAGAGGCTGGGGTTGCCTGGGACCTCCTGGGGGTGAGAGGGTACCAGGAGGGCCAGCCTGCCGTTCGTGAAGGGACCGTGAACCCCGGGCACGTGAGCAGCAGGTGCCACAGCCCTGCTTCTCTTCTTGGAGGAGCATAAGTACTGCTGGTTTGGGGAATCCTATTTGCCCAGAGCAGTCTTTCTGTGATGACAGATTTAGCATGATTTAGGTACATTGCCAGGGGTAGGGACTGCCAGGATTTCTATGGAGGGAAACTGGGATGTTTCACCCCCAAACATGGCCTCAGCATTTTTAAGGTAAACGCAGTTGGAAGCAGCAGTTACAGAAAGGGGCTCTGTGAGCTGCCTTTTCTTTCTGACGACAGGCCTTAGACATTCCTGTAAGTAAAATGCAGGACAAGACCAATAGGTGGCACAGTGGTTAAGGTGCTGGACTCCCACATGGGCGACAACGGGTTCAAGTTCCAGGCCTGGTGGCTTGAAAATCATGCTGGATGTGTGTGCATGCCCAAAATCCTGAGGAGAATGGAGAACGGGACTGCGGTGTGGTCATCCCTGCGGAGGGAGTGATTTCTTGCTTTCCTTCTCACTGTCTGTCTCTTTCTCCAGCGAGCATATGCTTCCTATGACAGAAACCTTAAAAAAAATGCATTGGGTTACTGCCCTTCCTCTTTTTGCCAAAAAGCAGAGATTCACAGAGACCGAAGGTCTTTGACCCTTCTGCCTCCCTCTCCTCCCTCAAGCCTTTAGGAGGACAGCCCTTACCAGTTCATTGGTGGCACCAGAGGGATGAGGGGTCCAGGAGCAGACTCCTCGATTTACCTTCCCACTTTTCCTACCCCTCATAGCTTGAGACTGCCTGCCTTCATCCAGTCACATCCCTAATGTCATCTGTTAGACCCGCTGTATAAGCAGACACCTAGGTCACATTTTTTAAGCCACTTTCTCCTACCTGCCGCGCACTGTGCAGGTTAACACACTAGATCGTTTTTCTCTTGTTGCTCGGTCATAGGCGTTCGTTGTCCCAGTTATGAACTTAGTTTAGTTCCCTTCTTCACTGCCCTGTTCCTTCCCATCTCCTCCTTGCATCCTCTGTAGCCTCTGGGCGGCCGGATTACCGAAAGCTTTTCCCCGTCTCTCATCCTGCCAGCAGAAGCCGTTGGCATTCAGAGACCTAAACTTGGATACTGGGAATGGGCTTGTCCTGTGAGCTGTGGGGAACGTGGGGCCTGCAATCAGGGCCAGGCGGCACCTTTGTCTAGGATCACACTGAGGCAGCCACCGTGGCTTCTCTCGTTCTCTTCCCAGGAGTCTTTCCTTCCATCGAGGAGATCCCTGAAAATGTGGTTCATGACCACGAGAAGAATGGCCTCCCCCGGCTCTCTTCCTTCAGCGATGTGGAAATTCAGAAGCGGTGAGAGCAGGTTTCTTAAGGAGAGCGGGGTGATTTTGAAGATCCAAGGAATTTGGTAAAACACTAGGCTCAGCTCTGTACTTGCCCGGGAGCTGTCAGACTGCATCTGTGAGAGGCACTGGCCATATCCCCAGCACTTAGCACTTTGAAACTCGCAGGTCCTTAAGAGAATCCGGCCTTTTCTTCATGCAGTCTGTAAAAATGAAGGTTACCTCACTGATGAATAGAAAAGAATGGCCAGCTTTGTTCAGCTTTGGTTTTGTTGAGGTTTTATGGATCCCTTACGGCACAAGATCGGTTCTTTGTAAGACATGGATTTGGGTTGCAGAGAGCCCCACTGAGTGTTTGGTTTTTCCTCAAGGTGTTGTACCTTCTGCAGGAGCCACCCCTGGTGTGGTAATGTGGACTGGACTCAGTGCAGGTCGGGCAAGGATGGCGTCCTTAGCTCATAAATGGGAAGGGCCTCCCGTATGAGCTCCAAAGTGGCCCTGCAGAGCAAGATTTAAATGAATGAGCACATGTCAGCAGCAGCTGCCCGCCAGGTCACCAGCTGAATGTTCCCCTCCCCTGCTTTGCAGCCACCTGCATTCTGTGGCCTTTGGCCCTTGTTTTAGTTAATTTTTCTGCCACCAATAACTGAATGCCACACGGAGTAATTCATAAACTCATTAACTGAGCTCACAGTTTTGGAGGTCCGAGGTCAAGAGTCTCCTGGTTGATGGGGACTGTTATGTAAAATCCCGAGGTGGACTGGGCATCACGTGGCAAGACAGCAAGGACACACATCTGTATCCATGGGTGTCCATGTCTGCTGCTTATCCAGTTACTGGATGCTAATCATGAGGGTCTCACCCCAGTCACCTCGTCTAACCCTAATCACTTCCCAAAGGCTCCCCTCTCATACCACAGTCAGGCAAGCCTCCATCACCTCAGTACTGTCGCAGTAGGAACCAAATCTCTGCACATGGATTCCGGGGGGCACATTCAGACCTTGACAGCCCTGCTTAAATTGCTCTTCCCCACCTGCATCAGAAATCTCCCTGGGGAAGACTGCCCTGCGATGCGCTCTCAGGTAGATTCTGTGAGACGCAGTGAGTTTGGACCCAGTTTCTGGAATGGAGTAAGCTGCTATAGTTACAGTTGTGTTGCTGCCGTCCTGGTCATCATCATCGCTAAGGCCAGCCCTGGTCACTCTGCTGCAGCTCCCTGCTGGAGGCTGAGGCCTTGTTCTCCACCTTTCCTTCCCCCACCATGGTTCCTCCCTTGGCAACTTCGAATTGAATTTTCAAATTTTTTATTTATTATTATTAGTAGTAGTAGTATTCACTTTTACCAGAGAGAGAGAGGGAGAGTGATAGTGAGAAAACAAGCCACCAGGTCCGACACTTGAACCTTGGTTGGCCATGTGGGAGTCAAGCTCCCTTAACCACCATGCCACCTGCCGGCCCCCTTCAAATGGAATTTTTAAAAGTCAAGTCTTTGAAATTGCTTTCTCTGGCCTCAGCTCTCTCTGACTTACTGAAAGTTCCTGCCCTTACAATTTTTTGCCCAGGAACAAAACTTTTTAAAACATTCCTGAAGTTCTGAATTATTTAAGTGAAACAAAGTATAGATTAGATAGAAGCCTTCACAGGCACCTCTGGGATGAGCACTGTGGCCTTGGATGGTGAGGTTTCTGAGCTGCTATTTCCCTGCCTGTAAAATGGGTTAATCCACAGAACCTTGGCATGGTTAGGGAACACACGTGGACTGCACTTGCGGCCGGGCGTAGCCACTGCAGGGCTTCGTGCCTGGAGGCAGCTGCTGCTCAGCCTCTGTCCTGTTCTCTCTCCCTGCCCACTTGCCTGTTACCTCCAGTAGCACTGCATTAACCTATTTGTTTTTCATTTTCCCCTTAGATTGAAAACATATTTCAAGTTTTTTATCGTAAGAGATCCCTTTGAGAGACTTATTTCTGCATTTAAGGATAAGTTTGTTCACAATCCCCGGTTTGAACCTTGGTACAGGCATGAGATTGCCCCTGGCATCATCAGAAAATACAGGAGGAACCGGACAGAGACCCGGGGGATCCAGTTTGAAGATTTTGTGCGCTACCTGGGTGATCCAAACCACAGATGGCTCGACCTTCAGTTTGGGGACCACATCATCCACTGGGTGACATACGTGGAGCTCTGTGCTCCCTGCGAGATAGCATACAGTGTGGTTGGCCACCACGAGACCCTGGAGGACGATGCCCCGTACATCTTGAAGGAAGCTGGCATCGACCACCTGGTGTCATACCCGACCATCCCTCCGGGCATCACCGTGTACAATAGAACCAAGGTGGAACACTACTTCCTGGGCATCAGCAAACGAGACATCCGGCGCCTGTACGCACGTTTCGAAGGGGACTTTAAGCTCTTTGGGTATCAGAAGCCAGACTTTTTGCTAAACTAGTGTGTAGGACATAGGAACTCAGATACCTTTAGACCAGGTGTTTTCCAGGTGGAGAGTGGGGCACAGAAGTGACACTTCCTCTGTCCCATCTCTTTCTGAGACTCTGAGGTTTCCCTGGGCCTGGGAGTGCTTCACGGAGGATGCTGGACCCTGACTGTTGCAACTTGCGTTGGATGTGAGTTGTGCCGAGTGCCCCACCCCACCCTGCCAATGTCATTAAGATGCTGCTGGCCTTCACTCTCCTCGGGGAGAGGGGAGAAAACATGCACAGGCTGACAGAGCGGCCTCGGGGAGACATTACATTACCCCAGTTTTCCTGGCTGGTCGGGTGGTCTCACAGGAACCCAGCACTGTCGGGAGGGCTGGAGAAGCCGAGGACCTGTGAATCATAGAGTCCAGCCTGTGTGATAAAAATGGCACCTCTGGCCTTCACCTGGACACTGCTTTAATCACAGAGACAAACCGTTCTTTCCATGACTTTTTCCTCTAAAGTACTGGGACAGCCATAGGGTGGTCCCCAGCCACCCCTCTTCAGACTCCATGCCCATGTAATGCTTGTCCTTGTTTCTGAGCCTCTACCAAGTGCTTGTCTCTTTCAGCACAGGAGGTTCAGAAAGGGAAGAGAGTGTAGTTTATTCCCATCTGAGAAGGGAAACATCTTTTGGGGCCTTAAAAGCACATGGCACAAGAAAGGAAGAGCCGAGTGGGCCTTGGAGCTCCGGCCACTGTGGATTTGGGCGTACCTGTGCTGACCTGTCCCCTCTGGTGTTTGTCCCCGCTGGGTGGGCAGCAAGCAGTCTCCACCTGTCTCCTTTTGGAGTGCAGCCCTTACTCTTCCTCCTTCCTCCGGAAGACAGGCCGAAGACAGGCAAAGGCAACACGCCAGCATTGTAGAATACAGTGCAGTTTATACATTGCAGTTTCCTTTTATCCCAGCAAAATGCTTCCCACCAGGTCCGTTTCTGATAATGCCACCATCCAGGACTAAATGGCCAGAAATTGGATAACAAGTTCACCAGCAATAAAACCCTGGGCTGAGGCAACCTCTGGTATCGTGTCTTCCAGGCACAGAATTAGTCCCCATTGAGGAGCGAGCCACAGTGACCAGTTCAGATGCCATCTGACAACCAGGGCCATTGAAAAAGAATGAGGCAGTGCCTCAGGAAGCATCCCTGGTGCTTGTGTGTGCACAGGGCCCAGGAGTCAGGGCTGGGAGGAGTGACCTGAGCTTTCCTCAAAAGCATCCTCGACCTTCCTTATCTCCAATGGTTTCCTGAATTTGTAAATGTGAAAGTAAAATAAAATCTAAAACATGTGCCAAACCCAACACGTGCTGCAGTTCCAGGGGAAGGTGCTCTATGGCCGTGCATGACCCCGAGGCCCGCGACGGGGTGTCCTCAGGCTGCTCGGGACCTTGGCAGGAAGTGAGGCCAAGCCCCTCTTTCTCAACTGACATGCCAAGGATGTGACACTTGAGTTATTTTTCTATCAAGTTTTAGCCAAGTCTTGTTAAAATCATTTCAGACTCAGTGAACTGATTGATTACCTCGTTCCTGTTTGAAATGTAACAGTGTGAATAATGTATGTGAATTTAAGGCCTTAAAGTTAGTCCTAATTAAAATAGCATTTTCTCTCAAACAAAGGATTGTCCACTTGGATTGTTTTTTGGTCCCCTCTGGTATTTGAGTCCCTTTCTTAACACATTTTGCCAAAAGCATAGAGATTACTATCAAAGTATCTCGTGGACATCTGGTATGTTCATAACATGATCTTTCCCAATCACTGTGGCTCCTGACCCAACCCAGGCCCTGGACAGCCTGTAATAGTGCAGCCTTCCCTCCTCCTACTTCCTTCGGAATCTCCAGAATCCACTTCTTCCTGTCTTGAACTCAAAGCAGGTGGGCCTTCCCCCTTTGTCCCCTTAGGTCCTATCACAGGACTCCTCAGCCTCTGCCAGTCTATCCCCCACACTGCTGCCCACCAGGAGCTTTACTGTCAAATGAATGTGCTGCCCCCAGGCTGGGCTGGGTGCCATCTCAGGATTGGGGTGGGGTGAGGTGCATCTTATCCCTAGGCAGGGACGGAAGTTGGGGCCGGGCAACTGGAGAAGGCAGGTCCCATGAGGATCTCAGCAGTGACATCACTCTAGGATTTGGAAGACACATAAGCAGCAACTCTGCATCCTACAAGTGATCTTGGTGGGGAGGGTGCTTCCTGAATTTACAAGCTTAATATTAGGTTTACTGAATAGGTATGGTTTTTTTTAATATAATTTTTTTTCTTTTTTTTGGAGAGGTTTTTGCTATAGGGCGCGCGCGCTTGCCAGAGAGACAGAAAGCGAGAAATCACCCCCCGGGGGGATGGCCACGCCACAATCCCTTCTCCTCCATTCTCCTCTTGGGATCTTGGGCACGCACGCACACGTGCCTGGTGTGAGTTTAAGCCACCGGGTCTGGGACTTGAACCGCGGTTGACTACGTGGGAGTCCAGCGACATAGTCGTTATGCTGTTGGTCCCCATTAATATAATTTCTTATATTTTATTATACATCTTTATGTGTGGTTTTTCAAAGAATGCATGCAGTGTATGATAATCAAATCAAGGATATTATAGTCATCATCTTCAGTATAGTATATTATATTATATACTTTTTTGATAGATATGGGTAGATTATAGATATATATTTTTTATTTTTTGGATTTTTGCTATAAAGTGTGTACACCCAACGGAAAGACAGATGGCCATGCTGAAATCCTTTCTCTTCCATTCTCTCAAGATCTTTGGCATGCATGCACATGCACCTGGCGTGAGTTTAAGCCACCGGGTCCAGGACTCAAACTGTGATCAACTACGTGGAAGTCCAGCGATGTAACAATTACCATCTGCTGGTCCTAGATACATCATTTAACAGATAATTATATCTATCTGTATATATCTGTATCTATATATAGGTGTCAACTTACTCTTTTTTACTTTGTTATACACCATCCCACAAACTATTTGTCTTGTTCACATGCATGCTTGTGTCTGTTAAATGCTTTTTCCTGAGCTCCTTCTTCATCTTCATCCCCTCTGCAGTGTCTGAGAATTACAATTGCTTTCTCTACTTCTTGTCTTCAAATCTTTTAGTGTCTGCCATAGAGTGCAGACATTAAATATATATGTTAAGTAGGGATATAACATGTTTGTCTTTCATAGTCTGGCTTATTTCACTTAGCATTCAGTCTTCCAGATTTGTCCACTTTGTATCAAATGACAGGATCTCACTGTCCTTATGGCTGAGTAATATTCCATTTTGTATATGTGATATGTTTTCTTAATCCAATCATCAGTTTTGGGGTGCTTAAGTTGATTCTAGTCTTAGCTATTGTGAATAATGCATTAAACCTGGATGTGCTTATCTCTTAATAGAGTGACTTCTTGTCTTTTAAGTAGGTACCTACAAGTAGGATTACTAGGTCACATAGTAGTTTTATTTGTAAATTTTTGACATGGCCAGTAGGTGGCATAGTGGTTTAGGTGTAGACTCCCACATAGCCAACTGCAGTTTGAGTCCTAGACCTGGTGGCTTACTTTCTCACTTTCTCTCCCCACCCCTGCCCTCTGTCTCTCTGGTGAGTGCGTGTGCCTAGTTTACATCTCCACCAACAGTACATGAGGGTTCCCTTTTTCCCACAACCTAATCAGCATTTGTTTTTTGTTTGTTTGTTTTTTGATTACAGCTATTCTGACTGGGGTTAGACAATACCTCAGGTTTTGATTTGCATTTCCCTTATGTTGGACATTTTTTTTTATACGTGCTTTGACCATTTGTGTGTCTTTTACAGTTATCTGTTCAAATCGATTGCCCATTTTTAATTGTTAGTTGTTTTATTCTTTTTTGAGGAGGAGAGGACAGGTGAGCTGCTGAGTTCCCTACATATTCTGCTTATCAATTCCTTATTTGAAATACAGTTTTCAAATCTTTTTTCTCATTCTGTGGGTTGTCTATTTATTGTTCCCTTTGCTCTGCAGAAGCTTTATAGCTTGACATAATCCCATTTGTTTATTTTTTGGAGTTGTTGACTACCTTTCAGGGGTCTCATTTAAGAAATATTTATTTACTCCAGTGTCTTCAAGTGTTTTCTCTGTGTTTGCCACAAGTAGTTTTATAGTTTGGCACTTTACATATAAATCTAATCCAATTTGAATTGATTTTTGTTAATGATGAGAAAAAAGGGATCTAGTTACATTTTTCTGCAGGTGTCTACCCAGTTTACCCAATACCATTTGTTGAAAACACGTTCTTTCTCCACCAATTGTCTTGTACCCTTTTAAAAAAATTATTTGGCTGAATGGTTGTGGATTTATTTCTAGATTCTCTTTTATGTTCCATTGATCTGTGTTTGTGTGTCAGTACCATACTGTTTCAATTATTACAGCTTTGTCATATAGTTTAAGGTCTGATTGTAAGATAGCTCCAACTTTATTCATTTTTACAGTTTTGCCTTGGGGATACAAGGTCTTTTATGACTCCATAATTTTTTTTTTCTGTTTCTGCAAAGAATGTCAATGTTAATTTGACAGAAATTGCATTACATGTTTAAATTAATTTGGGTGGTATCAACATTTTAATTATATCAACTCTTCCAATCCAAGAACAAGTAATGTCTTTACACTTTGTATCTTTTTTCAGTTTTTCAGGAGTTTTTTAATAATAGAAATCTTTCTCCTCTAAAGTTAGATTTATTCCTATGTTTTGTACTGTATTGTGTTTTGTTTTAAGTTACTGTAATTAGGATTTCTTTCCTCAATTCTGCCTCAGTTTGTTTATTGTTGGTGTACAAAAAAGCTATAGATTTTTGTATATTAATTTTTCATTCTGCAATTTTACTGAATTCCTGTATTACTTCTAGGAGTTTTTGTGGGTTTTTTAGGATTTCCTATGTAAATAATCATGGTGTCTGAAAATAGGGATAGTTGTCTGAAAATAGGGATAGTTTAACTACTACTTTTCCTATTCAAATCCCTTGTATTTCATGCTCTTGTCTGATTATACTGGCTAGGGCTTCCAATACTGTGTTGTAAAGGAGAGGAGAAAGTAGACAACCTTATCTTCCAGTTTTTATTGGGAAAATTTCAGCTTTCTCCTATTTAGTATGATGTTAGCTATGGGTTTGCCCTACATGGCTTTTATTGTGCTGAGAAATGTACCTTCTATACCTATTTTGTTGTGAGCCTTGATCATGAAGAGATTTTTTTAAAAATTTGTTTATATACCATTTATTTATATATTTACTTATACATATTTGCACACACATACGTACATGCTGATTAGCTCTTTCTGTTTTGGTTTCCATTTTTAAATTTTTTCCCACATTTTATTGATTCATAAAATACCTTAAAATACCTTAATCTAAATACTTTCTCTCTCTCATTTTTTTTTTTTTTTTTTTGGAGAGGTTTTTGCTATAGGGTGTGTGGGCTCACCAGAAAGACAGAGAGACAGAAAGCAAAATATCACCCCCCAGGGGGGATAGTCATGCCACAATCCCTTCTCCTCCATTCTCCTCTCAGGATCTTGGGCACACATGTACATGTGCCTGGTGTGAGTGTAAGCCACCGGGTCTGGGACTCGAACTGCAGTTGACTACACAGGAGTCCAGCGACATAGCCATTACACCATCTAAATACTTTCAATAGCTGATATATACATATCTGTGAATACATGTTGACTTTAGGCATGAAATTCTGTGGGTAGAATGAATATGCTATAAAGTAGCACCTAGCTGAGGTTATCTAGCTTACTGTGGTCATTATATAGATAAATATATAAATTTTATATAAAGTATATAAATATATTTTTTAATTTCAAGAAAGGCAGTTTTAGTTTTAATAGATCAAAATCAAAATATGTTAAGAGAACTTTGCTTAAGACTTAAAGCCAGGAAACAGGAATCTGTTTGAATAGTAGGTACATGGACCTGTCTACAACTCAAGAGAAGACAAAAATTCTCAACTCTGGAAAACAAAGGATGGAAGATCAGTAATGTTTTAGTCAAAAGTCATAAAATTCTATTTCACCAGTCCAGACTCATGTGTTAATCTACTTTCTGTTGTGGTCCAATCTTTCCGTTTAAATTCTGGAAGATAATGTTCAGTTCTGAACTTGTCCCTACCATTAAGCTGACCATTTTCTTTGTTGTTTTTGAACTCTTATTTCTGTGTGTCTGACTTTAGTTTTCCTGAGATAGCACTCCCTTCAGAACTTCTTGAAGAACTGATGTAGTGTCAGTAAATTCTTTCAGGCTTTGCTTATCTGAGAATGTTCTTCTCTTCTCTTCCCTTATGAAGGATAATCTTGCTGGATATAGCATTCTTGGTTGAAATTGTTCTTCACTTAACACTTTGAGTATATTTTGCCATTCTTCCCTTGCTCGCATTGTTTCCGATGAGAAGTCCACTATAGCCTGATGGGATATCCTTTGTAGGTAACTTGACATTTCTCTCTTGCCAGTCTTAGTATCTTATCTCTGTTTGTGGTTTTGGTCAATCTGGCTATAATGTGCCTTGGAGAAGATCTTCTTGTGTTGATACCTATTTGGGGTCTTTTGTATTTCTTGGGTCTGGATCTTTGACTGTCTCTCTAGGTTTGGA